TTTGTTTGAATATTTCTCGTTGATGCGATCTTCAAGGTCTTGTCGGGTAATTTGATTGTTCACAAATCCATGCGGCGGTATCTGGACCAGATCGTCGAAGGTGGTCTGCTAAATTAGTTTTCCCTCTGTCCCGGACCCGCGGAGCAGTGAAGTAACCGTACGAGGATGAACATATTGCTACGTTATACGCAGGAGGTTACGTGATTGCGACTCGGACGGGACGAGATGTAGCATATTCTGGATCTGGAGCGTAAAATTGTGTACTGGAAAGCTCACAATAACGATACAGTGAGGCGCATGGGAAAAACTTTCTCAACTTGTTACATCGACGAGGCTTTTGAGGGAGAATCCAATGTGACGCCGCTTTTAGAAGGTCTTGGCGGTTCCTCCTGAAAACGAATATCGTTCCCTCGACCACTTCCAACCTTGGCCTTGCAAGTCCCAGCAAACTAGTCCGCTAATGACACCAGCGTCCTACGCTTTATATCCCACCGTCCGCAAAAAAGCCTTGCGCTTCGCAATATCCGCTTCCCCTTCGATGCCTTTGGGACTGAAGCCGTCCACAACGCCTAGGATTCCCCGTCCTTGCTCTGTCTGTGCCACAATGACCTCCACGGGATTAGCCGTCGCGCAGTAGATACGGCAAACTTCAGGAACGGCGCGGATGGCGCCGAGGACGTTGAGAGGATACATATCGCGTAGGAAGACGATGAAACTATGGCCGGCCCCAATGGACATGGCGTTTTTCTGGGCCAAGGCGACGAGCTCCGGCTCGGTTCCTGAATAGCGGATTAAACAGACGTCCGACGCTTCGCAGAAGGCGAGGCCGAATTTGGCACCCGGGACAGCATTGAATATAGCTTCATGAAGGTCTTCCACCGTTTTGATAAAATGGGAGTGGCCGAGGATCAGATTGAGGCCTTGGGGATTATCGATGAGGACAGTTTTGAGTTCCATGTCTTCCGGCTGTGTTTTGCTCTTGGGAAATTGATCACTCTGTTGTCCGTATTAGTTCTGAAGAGTGTGTTGACCGGCCTTATTAACCTGACTGGTATCCAAGTAAAGTCGATCAGGTGATGTTCAACTCTCACCTGTTTTATGTCATGCCGCCATAGGCTTCGCTCGGCACCATCTTCGAATCCACGGTCGCGTGACGGACTGTCTCTGATGAAGGAGGTCTTTGCATGGCAAGAACACGGTTGTGAGCGGTTTCAATTACTTGTCCTCGCTCCGTTTCCATTCTGTTCGGTCATTACATTCTGTCGTCTAGGTCCCCAGAAATGAGGATGTTGTCCTTGGTCTGGCTTCAGGGTAGTCTCACATGGCAGTTGAGGCAGCAATCCTTTGATATCAGTCGACGAGTTCTTACTCCATGGTCTGTGAAGAGGATGTAATTTCCAGAGGAAACTGTGTTCTGTCCAGGAGCAACTGTGAAAGCGGAAGGTGAGCTGGGCGCGAGCAGAGTGGCGAGCAATTCGGTCAACATTAACGCAGACAACCTTTGTACCTCAAAAGTGAGGAACAGAACGGTGCACTTTACCACGAGAACAACCGACAGGCACAGCAAAGATCCAGATGGTACCAGCATCGGGTCCATCAATGTGTGTTATGAAGCTTCTCCTCCAGCCACGAAAGTACAATCTCACTCGTAGCCCCAACACTGGAAAATACAGCTTCTACGGACCCTACGCAAGGAATCTTTGAAGAAGGTCACCAGATCCCAGCGCGATTCCCGAGCACCGAACGAAGCCCCAACACAAATCAAGATGACAGTTTAGGTTGAATGCAGTCCACTCAGGATTACAACATAGCCCTCGACCAAGGAAAGGACCCTCATGCTCAACCCATGGTTAGGTCTTTCGCGTCGGTATGAATGATATATGTACGCCATTTGCATGTCTTGATCCTGTTAATCATAACGAGCCACGATAGAACGAATCTCCATAACACGAAATTTTACACTCGTCAATACCGCCACGAATGAGCTCTATTGTGGCCAGATACGACAGTTTGAAAGTCTCAACGATACTCGTTTCACGACCACCGGCATCTTGAAAGCTTTCGCGCTCCTTTGCGCTCATGGTGTGGCGGAGTTTTGGATCATTCAACAAGTCGCGCCTGCAAGCTCTGATGAAGACATCCCTCACAGATTCTTCCATGTCATCGTCCTATTTGAAAGCATTATACCGGTCGCCAGCACCAGGAGAGATGTGTGCGACGATATTTTGCCGTCGTGCCCCGAGCTCCTCCGTGGCGCCGATCAGATTTCTAACGACGTGGTGGACGGGGGGCTTCCAACCCGCGTCGGCATGGCCGATTATGCGATTACATGGGTTATACAAGGAGATTGCTGGGCAGTCCGCGCCTTGCACAGCGATCAGGGACCGAGTTGCGATTGCGTCGTATGCGACAGGCTGATAAGTCTGCGTGATCGGCACCAAGGTCTGTGATGTCGGGTGCGTGACCCATTCGAAATCTTCCTGCTTGATGGCTTCGCCAGAATGAGGCCAGACCCCGTTCGGAAGAAGCACATTTCCGGCTTGAAACCAACGTTATGAGCGAGCTTCTGAAGGTCTGCACGGAAATGCCTTAAAACATGTGTAGGATCAGCAGTTGTTGGTCAGTCAAATGAGAAGTGTTTGTTGTAGGACTCGACCCCTTTCCCGGTGAAAGAACCTCTGATCTCTTTCCATTGCTCGAGGACAGGGTATATTGGGTGCTGATAAAAGTATCTTGATGCTGCTGGCGTTATGACATCAACATTATCAGTCGATGGTGAACTCGACGAAGGATGATGGGAGTCCAGTTCAAGCTAAATCGAACCAAGAAATGTTCCCCTGCGATTGCCTTTATACAGTTGGGAGAGGCATATTCACAAGGAAGGAAAAGGGGGAGGGAGGCAACACATCATGGACAAGGCTTGACAAGGCTTGACAAGGCTATTATTTATGTACGGGCTTCTGAAGTGGCTACGGCTTGACCAGCCCAGACGAATTCATGCATCGCCACATGCGGCCAGACCCAAGCATGCGTAGCGTCCTTAGAAGATCTTTCGTATTCTCTAGCATCGTAGAAGCAGAAAGTACGGATTTGCCACCGGTTGGAGTTATCCTGAGAAAGGGAATTTGCAGTACCACACTATTCCGGAGCAGGAGAGGGAACTCGCCGATTGTGTCGCAGCCTTGCGGCTCAGCCTTGCGCTGTGCGCGGGACCAACCAAAATTTAACCGCTGGACACTTGCTCGCCTTGCCAACCGCGCGATCATTTTCAGGCTTTGCTGCTTGGATATGTACAAGCATTCTTGACTTGTATCGTGTATCTGCATGAATCAACAAATATCTCAGCGGTAAGACCCGCGCTCGTTGTTGCTCCTTCTGGATGTCGAGCCAGCCCTTCACATTCCCTCCTCCACCGCCGCCTCCCAAGCGAACGGAAGGCGCGTCCCAGCCAACCCAAGGCTTTCAGAACAACAGGGGGCCATTTAGAGGGTCTCATTCCTACAGAGGAAATACGAGAGGCGGTCGCGGAGGACATGGAAGTTATCGTCCGGGACCAACTACGTCGTCCGCAGTGTATGGCCAGAACGCGTCCCATAAACCCTTGAATAACGGTTCACAACGGGGTGGTTTTCTCAACCCGCCACAGAAGCGGGATCACAACACTGCATTCAACCCGGGCCACCAACATCGTCCGCGTCCCACAGCTGCGCCCGCGGTACCCAGCTTCAATGCTACAATCGAACACCTTCTGGCCCGCAGGCCGTCTGGTGAACAAACAAGCCAGAACTCACCGGAGCCAAAGAAAGTAGAGCCAAAGAAACACAACCTCCTTGGATTGACTCCCGCAAAATTTGACCGAGATTCGGATCCTGAAGATGACGAAGATGAAGAACAGCGCCTGGCGAACAAGACAGCGCCAGACGTGGGTGGTTACATATTCGAGTATAACGGCCATCCTCTCGCTCTCCGGACGCGAGAGGAGATATTAAGATGGGTTGCAGAAAGAAAACGGCGATTCCCTACACAAGCGAGGATTGAGGCGGCAAAGAAGGAGGCCGAAGAGAAGAAGAGAAAATGGGAGGAAGAGCAGCAGGCGAAACGGGAGGCCAGAAAAGAGGCGCTAGCCAAAAGAGACCAAGAAAGAGCTGAAAAGGAGAAGGCGATCAGAAAAGCGAAACAGGCACGCGAGCAGGAGCGGAGGTTTGACAGGGACGACAAGACCGAAAATATGGATGCTACCGCTCGAGCAAAATTAAAGGCCGATAAGCTACGAAAAAGAGCTCTGAAGGCGCAGCAGGAGCTAGAGAAGGCGGAGGAAGCATTGCGGCTTGCTGAGACGAAAGAGAATACTTCGGTATCTCTGAGCGGCGCCACAGGACCAAGTCCATCTCCTACTACAGAAGCCGCCGACGTCTCGTCCAACTCAGATCTCACAGACTCAGAAGCGACCTCGTCCTCTGGCTCATCCACGACATCTGGCTCAGACTCCGGCACAGATTCGGCTGCTCTCTCGAATTCTGATTCTAGCCCAGAAGTAACGAGCAGTAAACAGGTGTCTCGTGCTCATCCCTCTTTTCGACCAGGGCCGCGAACCGCAAGAGGGCAAATGCCTCAGCCCTGCAAACACTTTGTGAAGTACAAAACATGCAAATGGGGTTCAAGCTGCCGCTATTCGCATGATTTGCCTCGAAAGAATGGGAGAAGCGACGCAGGAGCAAGGACGAGCCAGGGCGAGAATTTGACAACTACCGCTGCTGGAAACGTGCGAAGAAAAGGACTGTGGCAGGTCTTGGTAGAGAAGGAAAGAGAAGAGAGTAGGAAACGCCTGCTGGGCGCCATCATTACGCTGGGCGAGAAAGGACTGCTGGAGGGTCCATTACAGAAGGCAGGAGATACTGCATAAGTGTGCCAATATTGTCATTCCTCGTCTATAATACCGTAATGCTTACAGAGCGAGGTGTTCAGGTACTCAACAGCGTCTCAGAAAATTCCATCCGGTTTTATATCTCACCTGAATTCTCCCGCTCATAATCTCTGCAAAGCACACTCACCAAGAAGTCTCTTCCTTCTGTCCCTTTCCGGATCCCAAGCCTGCCGCCGCTTCCCCCACCCGCCAGAGGGAAACAATGCATTTGGCCTTTCCAGACCAACCATCTCCCCGACACGCCGAGCCTCTGGCACTTGCGCATGAATTCCAGCCCGTCGGGAGCCAGCACGTCGTGCGTGCCCAGGACGCCGTGCACGTGTACGTTTCTGGCCCGCAGCGCGTGGAAGGCTGTGTCGGCGTTGAGGAGGGGTGAGACGCAGGGGTCAGATAGTGGGATAAGTCCAGGATTGTGTGAAGAGGAGGGTTGTTGTTGGTCTTGGTCCTTCCTTGCCTTCCGGTTCGCATTGTCATTGTCATTGTCGTTGCCGTTACCGGTGGTCCCGGCGGTCCCGGTCCAGATCTCCGCCACTTGCCTCGCCATCTGCGCTGTAAGGACGCAGTTGAGCTTGTTTGCTTTGCGGATTTTCGGGTTGCTGTGCGTCAGGTCCGTCGGACCCGAGATGCTGATCAAGGATGTGAGGGGGAAGTTGTTATTCGTCCTCGTTCTTTGTGTCTCTTTGGTCCCGTCATCGTCAGCATTTGGCGAGTGTGCTGTGGAAAAGGCGTGCGGCTTCTTCTGCTGGTGCTGCTGCATTTGTGGTAGTGCAAGTTCATTGTAATTCTGCACAGCCCAGAATCCCAGACTCAGGACGACGTTGCCACCGCTGCTGTCGCCCATCAAGCCCAGCGTGTCACCGTTTTCCGATGCCGCGTCCATCACCCTCCCCAGTCACTTCCTTAGAATTTCCAGACTGTCACTCGCCGGACTGTACGGTGCCAATGGGTAACTCACGAGAACCAGCTCGATCTCCGCGCCTGGCTCGGCATCTTGACCCAGGCCCTTGGCATGTTGGCCGCTGCCGGTTGGTGGTCTGCTGCAGCAATGGCTCGCGAGGTCCTGCGAGAGGTACGTCAGGAAGCGCCAGTGCTCAGGCGCGGGAGGAGATTGAAATCCCCCGCCGCAGAAGTAGTAGACGCGGTGTTTGCGTCGGACGCGTGGATGATGTCCCGTAGTCCGACCTGTGCCAGCGCCAGCGCCGACGCCATCTTTCACCAACTCATCCGTGGGACTACCATCCCCGACCTTTTCGACGTGCCTTCTCCCCTTCGCCTTCCTCTTCTTTGGGGCCGGGTCAAAATAATACATCCACACGCCCTCACACATCGTCTCTTGGACCACAACGTCCCGCTTCCTCGGCGGAACAACACGCGGCGAGCCCGCCGGCTGGGCGCGATTGCTGGGCCGAACGAGACGGGGGCGAAGCGGTCTTATCACAGCGCGCAGGACGCGGTAGAGGAGTGAGAGGTCAGAGCGGATGGTTATTTCCATCCCCGTTTCCAGTTCCAGTTCCATGCTGGACCGTGATGCTTGCGGTCTCGATTGGGCGTCGGAGCTGGTGATGGTGATTTCTAACGTGAGGCTTCATCATTGCTCTCCTTCCTTCCCCATCGTGGTGGGATTGCTACGTGGGACGATTTTACATATGCGTCGACTGCCATGTTGGCACCGGGAGGGTACCAGATCCAGATCTCGAGACGGGGGATGAAAGTCGTCGACGTCATGATCCATTCACAGACTCTTCGCACGGACAAACAGTGAACCTACCACGGTACGACTCTTGACCACTCTTACCTGCATGTACACGGAGTATTTTTAAATCCTCATACGGAGGGGAATTACTCCTGTCCTCTAGAGACTCTCTTGGATTCAATTCGACCGCCCATCCCATTCCGTCTCATCCGCCTCACTAAGGAGCCGGCAAGCTGACGAACCGACACAAGGCTGAGAAGTCAGTCAGGTTTAACCACAAAAACTACAAGCCGCTAATTACGCCACTTTGGTGAGAAGCGAGCGTACCTCGAGCCGGTATTGGTGAGTTGGTCAACTGCAGATCCGCCTCCGGCTCCGGCCGAGATCTTTAAATGCCTACTAAAACTAATAAAAGACGGGCCAGAAACTCTTCACCACGTTCACTTCAGGCCATTACGGTGCACAAGAACTCACTCTAGACCATGACTGGACCAGATTTCCAGACAACGATTGATATCCACATATGGCGTATAATGCCACGCTGCAGGCCACTGTATTATATTATTGCCGTTCATATCCCCGAGGTGGGCAGATCTGCCCATCGGTAAAAAAAAAAAAGAAATCCCTGTTACATCTTTCAACAGTCTTTCCCAAATTATAAAACCACATAGCCCCCCTCAGACATTTGGAACTGAGGCCTGGACCAGAATCTCCCCCTCGTCCATCCATTCTCTCGCTCTGCACCCAAGTCCCCTTTGAATCTCAAAATCACGCTTATCTGCGGGCATCATTTGTCTCGGTCTGGCTCTCATCGCGGCCAATGGCAGGCATCCCAATCGAAGCCTCCGAAATCCACTCCCAACTTTTCGTCGACTCTTGGCAGATCCATATGTCCAGACTGCGGAGGTAGGTCGGCATCGTGTAAAACAAACTTTGATAAGTCGGGAGGCTTTTGTGGAAGGGACGCGTATGATAAGCATGGCATCGTGCTTTCAACGTACGGGTTTTCTGGCAATACACCTGGAACCGGGGTAGACCAGAAAGGATCGGGTATTAGTGGCACTGGGGGTACTGCCGACCAAGTTGCATTGCTTCCACCTGAATTCGGGAAATAACCAGACGCACTAGAAGGCCCCAAAATCGGCTTCAAGTGGCCATATGTCACTTCTGGTGAGACAGCTTGATTTCCGGAGTTCGTCTTGTTTAGTTCGTCCTCGATTTGCGGCGCTCGAGCCAGAGAAGCATATAACGGAGGTTGTGGTTGAGTGATCTCTTCCGGCCTTGGTGCATTCACGAGAGCATCTGTCCTAGAGAGTCGGGACGCACCTCTACGACAGAGGGCTTTGGAGGCAAGTCGAGGAATACGTCTAGGAGGTAATTTAGGCGGATCGGATCGTTCCCAGGGAAAAGATTGCTCTTTAGAGAGCGGAGTGGACGACGAAGATGCGTCCGGTTCGGAAGAATCAAGGCTTGAAGGAACCTTTCTTGATGCTCGCTTCTTGCGGAGATCGCGTCGACGTTGCCTCAATAGGTCAGTTTCATCCAAAGACCCACGACAGCGACAGTAAGCTGTGTTGCTCATGTTCACTCCACATTTGTAACAGAAACGCGACCCACACGAGCAATTCATGTTGCTGCAGCCGTCAATTCTCTCGACCAGATTCTTGCAGCCAGGACATTGCTTCCATTGCTTACTTCTAGCAAGTTGGCGATCTCTCACATCCATGAGATCCTCAAGACCTTTGCAGGTGGTTCCACCATCCCCGACATGGCCGCCGTGTCCTTGTTTGCATTCGGTACAGGTTTGGACACCACATTTGCTGCACAAAACGAACTTTCCCGTGGTGTTCTGGATCTGGCTCAAGGGAATGTGACGACTGCAGAATTTGTTTGAACAGTAGACCGGGTTGGGGTTTGAGTATTCTTCCTGCACATCAAGATAGCGAGCGAAAACTTCTTGGTCAAGATACTGGTGAAGTGAGCCCACGTCTACGGGCTGCCAACCACCGCAGCATTTTGGAGGCCACGACATTTTGTTGGCGATACCAACGCTGACAAGATGATTCAGACAAGGTCGACAGTAGCAATGGCCACAATTTAGGGAGATGGGGTCCTCCAGTGGATCGAGACACGCTCGGCAGGTTACGATATCGCCATTTCCAGGACTACCAGACAAATGGGTGCGAAACCCAGGCGAGACAGACTCCAGAGGGCGCTTTCGGCGGGCGATGGTCTGTGGATCCCCAAGTACACGGTTAGGATAGGCTGGATAGGACATTGGATCAGCAAATGGCCTGATCATCCATTGATGACCCCCTGAGAGGCTGTCTGAAGGCTCTTTTGTTAGAGCTGCATGTCCAGCGGCACCTCTAGAATCGTCAGTGACGGGGCCAGGAACAAGATCCTTGGGATCCACTTGACGCGGTTGGCTCGTCATTTCGTTGCGTGAACCTGCCGTTTCTTCAAGAACTTCAACATTAGACAGGGTGAAAGTGTCCGATTCTCCGTACCAGAATCTGAGGAAATCAAGGAGATCTCCCTGGGTAGATGGATTATTCTGCCCCGCCCTGCGCAAAGTGACGGTCGGTAGGGTTGAGACAAGGCTGTTTGAGACCGGCCCAGCCGCCGGGAAGACACAGCTCACCCGATGCCCTGAGCTAACCTGACTGCCTGCTCCTCGTCTCCTTGCATTGTTCACCATTCTCCAAATTGCGGGTAGCGGAGGAAGGAAATGGGAGGTTGGGGATATTCGGGCGTCTGGGGGAACCAGAGTGGCGCACCTCATGTGGCAGCCACCTAGGGAACAAGGCCGGAGACACCTAAGAAGATGTCGACGAGATTTCTTTGAGCTGCGCCAATGCGTTTTGAAGCGCAGAGTTATTCAGCCTTGTGACGCTGGAGGAGACAACATAAGTTGCAACAACGTACGGATAAGAAACCTGTTTGTCGTAAGCAAGGAATGAAAGGAGATAGTTTACAGCACCAGTGACAGAGATGGAGAGGCAGTCAAATGTGTCCCGGGAACGGGTGGGAGGACGAGGCGAGCAAAGAGGGACGAGGACATGTTAGTCGAGTTACTGCAATGACCGTCGAGCGGTGATCAACGTCGATGGGCGGGGAAGCAAGCAGGCTGGTAGGCAGTGCTGCTGTCACTTGTTGTCACTCGTTGTCACTTGTGCTACCTTGGCAACTTCGAGTCCTCAGTTCACGAGGCCGAATGCAACCATCTGCCTCTTCCGCAACGTGCGCTCAATACCAGACTCCTCCTCGGTCCAGGCCAGCTATCGACCTCACCGTCTTGAACAAGATTGTCTGAGCATCCTCCGGCCAATCGTCTCCCAAAAGCGGTCAAGATGCACGCAGGCAGATGGAAAAGCGAGCACAGACAAAGAGGGGGGCACAATTGAAGCTGCCACTGAGACAAGAGAGACAAGAGCTCGCCGTCTCGTCTGGGAAGGATGCGCAACAACGAAGATGGTGGTGACAGCGGGTTTTGAGGTGAAGCGGATTGTATCTCTTCTCGTTCCCCGGCGAGGATTCGGCATGACTTTTGCCCGATGAGGGTTGTGAGAATTCGTCACCGTACAAGACAAGTGTATAGAGAAGAGGAGGAACGGACCAAGAAGAAAGAACTTGATTCATCATGGAAGCCTTTGTGGTATCACCAGGGACGCCTTTGGAGGAACATATTTCCACTGACTTCTGAGGGATGTTTGTGATCATTGTTCGTCACGTAGACGGCATGTTTTCGCGTTTGATGCTATAGGATATCGCCATCATCACGGTTGCTGCTCCTCTGTTCTGCTCTCCATCTCCCAGACTCTACACGCACCTGCTCAAGTGCTGATGGTGCTTCAGTGGTGCTTCAATCACTGCCTCGACATATTGCTTAATCACCGTCTATTCGTAGCTCAACCACAATGATGTCCGCACCGAGAAACATATCCAACCTTCCAGCACTACCCGTCCATCCTGCCGAATGCGATGCCTCCAGTTCTCCCACCAAAACTCGGGCTTATTCTGAGAGTGAAAGTACTGACGCTCTCACTCCGATTTCATCCACCAGTGGCCAGCCGGCCACTCCGTCTGAGAGCGACACCAGCGGGTCTGCAATCAGCGAAGTCACCGCAAAACTGCAGCCTGATCTTGACCGGAAGCTGGAAGCTCTTGTCCTTGCGGAGGAAACAGTGCCTCCTCGTGGACAGTCTGCGGTTGATCTTCCCACCGAAGGGCCTGCCACGACTTCGAGAGATCCGTTGGGATTCGTGTGTGCCTTTGGGTTCACGGGGTCATCCGACGAGCCATCGGCCGTTCCCAGGACGAAAGGTGCCTTCATCGCTGCAATCAGAGGCGAGATTGAAGGAATCGGCATGATCCAGAGAGGACTTCAGTCGTACCAGAACGCCATCAATTCCCGAAAATACCATACCTTCAGCCCCAGATTTCTCATCGATCAGAACACGGCCACTGTGATAACACTCGACCAGTTGGATCAAATAACGGCCCACTTGAAGAAAATCGAGGAGGAAGTGCATGGGATTGAGGACGAAGACGAGGAGGTCCGGGAGGAACTTATGGAGGCGTTCCGGCAAGTGCAACCTTGGGTGATGCGTACACGGGCTATCCTGCGACATTGCCACGTTTTCTACAAGATCAATTTCGTCCTGGCCACTGTGACGCAGAATACACAGCATTGAAGAGGTGGACATGTTGTGAGGACAACAGGCATGGCTCCTTGGCAAGAAATGAGCGCATGCAAAATAATGATACCACACACGGGCGTAAAAGGCGCTGTCTTGAGGATGGCTTGTTGAAGTGACAAGAGGAACAACTGCAAGTTGCCTTGGTCATGACAATGACGGAATCTATCTTCGTTTTCGTGGTTCAGCTCGTTTCTTCCGATGCTCACCATGTCGCTGGGACACCAGCGGCGCACTTGACCAGCCTCTCTGAATTCCCTTATCTTTTCTTCCATCCTCAATCTCAATCTCCTCTTGCCGTAACCACAGGTTCATTGGCTACGGTGACCGTTCTGTGTTCACGGACACCGTTACTTTAGCAGGTATGCAGAGCCCAACGATAAGCCGATGTGCTGCGGACACCACACTGGTGCTGGAAACGAGCCAAACACCTCAACCGAGCCAAAAGCCTACCCAATGGGTTGATAAGCGGTCTGCTCCCTCAAACCCAGCTATGCCAGCACCCAATCGTGTCTGTCTCTTATCACGGTCTTGCAGAGGTCCAGACTGACCAAGACTGACCCAGCCGGTCTTCTGTACCTCCGTTTTTGCCGACCAAGAAGAGCCCCATAAAAGGATGCACTGGCTTCTGCCCTTGGACTTGCTCAGGGTTCAACGGGTGGCGCTGGCTAAGGAGAGGCCGATCTTCGACCCCCCCTGCTGCCTCACGGCCCTGACATCCAGGCTTCGGGAGATGCTGCTAACTATCTTAGGCCCCGACTCCAGGCAGCGAGGGGTAAGCAGGGGGGTGGAAGTGAGGGGCAGCCAGAAAAAACAACCCATAAACAATAGTGACAACAATGAAACAAAAGTCTGAACTGGCGAGCTGGCAGCAACTGACCATCCGCTGCTGACCGACGGCGGTCCTGAGGCTTCTGCACCTTCACATGCCATTCGCTCGCGACCTCAGTCTCAGCATCTTCGATTCTTCACCGCCAGAAGCTCGACCGTGGGTCGAGTTCGCGCACACGCGAACTTGACCCCTCCATCGTCTCAAAGCTAACGGCACCGACTGCGGCGACATGCGGCGCCTTGCTCGATCCAGCGGGCCGTCACCAACGGTCACGCGTTTTCATTTGGCATCAGCATCCATCGGTGAGGGCCATGCTTGCCCTGATTGGGTCTTTTACACACGACGTGGCCTTCAATTCTTTCGCTTTCAGGCGTGGGGCTAGCCTGAATCAAATTGTGCAATCCACCCTGCTCCCAATCGAGAGTTTAGCAGAAGGGCGACTTTCTGAACGGAAATGAGGGGTGGAGGGGTAACATGATGGCCAGGGTGAGTGGTTATATAAACAACGCCGTCCATGGTGGCACGGCTTTCTTCTTTCTCTTCCTCTTCAAGCTTCTCCAAGCCCAAGTCTTGTACCAGTCCATCTTCCAGGCAAATCATACTTGACTCTCCCAATCATCCTCCACCCACAACACATTCACCATGGCCGACGAAGCTACCAAGGCACACCTCCGCACCAAGTTCGACAAGCTCACCGCTGACGACTTCAAGGAGGTTGCTGGCAACAAGGAGGCCCTCGCCACCAAGGTCGCCGAGAAATACGGCATCTCCAAGGAGGAGGCCACCAAGCAAGTTGAGGAGGGTTTCGCCGGCAAATAATTAGCCAAACACCTTTGGCCCAGCGGTTCGACCCTCGAAGCTCTTCCTCTCCAGTCGATTTATCCAACCCCTCTCCGCCAATCGAGACAGCAGTCGCATCACCTCCCAAGGGGGAAGATGGAAAGAAGAAGAGTTTTGAAATGTTACATGCGGTGCCCACACGCAGTTGGATTGGTTCTTCATAGCGCAAGGAGTCAGAAAAGCCTGCCTACGATGCATCATGCCTCGACAAGCTCAAAGAATTGATAGAACAAAGGGAACAAAGCGTACTCCATAAGGACATTCCGCAGCACTTCTTGTCGATCTCCTGGCTTTCTGCTTGGTTTGTCAAACTCTGTGCTTTGTCGAACCGAGATTGCATGCCGGTGCCACGCTGTGTAACCCACATGACCGACTGCCAAAGCGAGCCCAAACGTCCTTGTTCCCTTTTTGTCGTGCCCCTTTTTGTTTCAGCCTCACGCCGTATATATCTCGTAACCTGCCTCACCCGGCAACGTAGTTCTGTCCAAGTGCCCCCACGAGATAGGTAGCGTCGTCCCTGGATCTTGGTCCGTTCCTGTTTCCTATAACTCTGCCGTGCCGTGTCTATCCGTCCCTGTGCTTTGCTGTCATCCCCTTACCACACCTTACCTTATCCCGCCAGTCGACAAGTCGAACCTCCAACATTCAGCGCCCAACGCCCAACGCCCATCAACGTTGCTCTTTTCCACGGGAGAACTCGGCCTCGCCTCGCGAGACATCCTCGATGATCCAATTCTTCACTTTTCTCAAATTCCCTCAGCGCCCAACCAACGCCTGATGCTTAAGCCAACGATGCCCTGACACGTAATAAAAACCTCGCGCCATCCATCCTTCCTTCCTTCCCTCTTTAGCGTTTTTTGCCTTCTTCGCGTTGTACGTATGTATCCCCGGTTCACCCCCTCGAACTAGTCATGTAAATAAACCCTTTTGTAGTCCATGGACGGGAAGGAAAAAGGGAAGGAAGGACGCCATGCAAAGGAATTTTGCATGTACGAGGTACCTTCCTCCGGTATCCGTATGTATCCCTCTCCATTCCTGCTGCTGGCTACGTGCGCACTGCGAAGTGCCCTTGGCGCAGCACAGCCATGCGATTTGTTGAGGAGGAAAAGGAAGGGGGGGGGGGGGAGGAAATGCCAGCACATCTGCGACGATGTCCTACACCCTAGACTGACGTCCATGTACGTGTCTAGGACCGGACCAGGACCACGACTGGGACTGGGACTGGGATCGAGCACCGTGTTTAGGACTAGGTCGATCGAGTCCCGTCGTCGTTACTCGTACGGATAGGGTAGGTATCTAGGCAGAATACTTGGGCAAACTGGTAGGTACCCGTAGTGTACCTTATCTCCCCGCGAGTCGCGATGGGTAGCAAGGGTACGAGTAAAAGCGAACTAAGCGAGCGAGCATAATAACAGGTAGGTTATGAACCTTCGCACGGGGAAATACGTAGTACTCGCAGCCGCTGCCGAAGGCGACGGAATCCATGGACCATGTACTTCGCACCTTTAGTTTGCGGCCGTTTTCCCGACAATGTGTTGAACCTTGAACTCACTGTTCATTTTTGTGTAACCGTAAAATACTCAAGTCAGATAGTAGATATACTAGGGACATAATTCTTGTACAGCTCTGAAGACGCCACGCCAGCCTGGGTCCATTTCGCGCCCTTCCAGCATGGAAATGCATGAAAGGTGTTGTTCGTTCTTGCAACCAACGACAGGTAAAGACAGGGTTGAAGATGAAACCTCCGGCCTGGGCAAAGAGACATCCGACCGGGCTTTGTTCGACTCACAGGCGCAATGTGATGGTCCCCGTCGTCCATGTACGGGCACACTGATCCATCCCTCCACCAAGACCGCGCTCATTTACTGTCCAATGCTTCGTCGAATGCATACCAGTCAGAGGGCGAGAGAGAGAACTCCCATCCTCCCCTTGTCAACACTCGTCATTTCAAACCTCTTCCTCATCATCCAATCCATCGCCCAACAACTCATCATCCTCCACAACCTGGGAGTAATCCTGTCCTCTTCTTGCAAACGCATCTCTCGAGCGATAAGGGGCTCCATACCCAGCATCCGTTCCTCTTCCCACACCAAACCTCCCTCCTGAAGCACCACCACTCCCAAGAGGCATATATCCTTTTGCACTCCTCCATAAACTCATCACGACTAACGGCATAGCCTTCGTTACCGCAACCACACCACTCACAACCGCCACAGGGATCTTGATCCACAACGGATCACCGCTCGCTCCGGAAGAAGTACCGGTGGCGCCCATGCTTTCTCCCAGCCGAATCTGTCCAAACGAGCCAAATCCGCTCCTCCATTGTGTATACACCCAGTAGCCAATGCCTAGGGCGACCGTAATAGGGATCACAATCGCAAAGAATAATGCCACGCCTGAAATGCCGTGCTTCTTCTTATACTCCTTTTCATGGCCTGGACAAGGTCTCGACTCCAGCTTATCCAGTTCCCTCCCTCCCTGGCACGTCGTCAGTGGTATCCTCCTATAACCCGTGGGATACCAGAACTCGAGCTGGTTTGGATTATCTCGACAGTTCTGTTCGTGATCGGCTGGTTGCAGTCCCGGCACCAATTGACACGTTCCATCGGCTTGCGCCTGGTAGTTGTAATCACACTCAAAGTCCTGGCGCGTGCAAGAGCAGTTTTTCGCAATGTTGTGTAGGTGACTGATGATCTTGCCGTTGTAGCATTTGGCGTCAACACGTTTGCGGTGATATTGAGCTACGTGGCCGAACAAGCAGTTTGAATCTTGCATGGGATGCTTTGGTTCCCAGAGCGCGTAGTCGCCTTTCTCGGGGTTCTTCTCGTCGAGTTCGCATTTGATTTGGCGTTCTTCGAGGCCGGAAAAGTCCAGGTGCACGGTGAAGATGCCACGTTTGGCGTTAGTTCCCAATTCGCGACCCCACAGAAGGAAGTTGCGAGAGTTGTCCGAAGGTACGGTGGTAATGGCGTCGATCTGCATTTCCACATCCGGGGAGAACACGAACTCGCGCCAAGTCTTGCCTTCGTCAAGGGTGTAGAAGAGGGATTTGGTGGGTTGGGACTCCTTGACAATCACGATGATGCTGCCTTGGTCGCCGTATTCCCACATGTAGCTGCCCTTCTTGACAGATTGCCAAGTGATCCCGGCGTCGCGAGTAATGAAGGTGTCTGTGGCTTCATCGTCTTTCCGGGCGAGGTATTCGCCAACGTTCCCCACGGCCATCATTAATCCAACCGCGCTAGGGCTGGAGAATGTGGCTGACTTGTCGGCCCGTTCCGTATAGCTGTGAATATGCAAGGAGCATTTTTCAGTCGCCTTGTTCGCATCTTCCACACAAGGGTACTTATTTCCCAAGGCATCCTCCTTCGGTGGTGGGAGATATGCCCATTGTGCGCCATCGTTGTGGGTAATCATCGACTTGAGCTTCTTCCTCTCCCCGTTGTTCGTCTCGTCGATATTGGACACGACGTTGACCATGGCAACTCCTTCGAGACCCTGCATTTTCTCGAAATCGACATAGCCTTCGGTGTCCCGATTCACACCGCCCAGAGTGAAGACATACGATGTTCCGTTGCTGTTCGACTTAATGATCGCACCGTACTCGTGATCTTGAGCAGCGTTTACGGTGACATGAAGGAACACAGCATGAGTAGAGCTGTCCAAAACCGTGTAGGCTTGTTGATGCTTCACTTGAAAGTTTCGAGGAAATTCTGCAGGGGCAAACGTTCGTCCATCCACACTCGCATCCACCTTCAAGCTCTGCCTGTCTTCAGTCTTTGCCGCAACGATGATGAACTCTGACATGGTCGCAAAGTCCAAAATGTCCGGGAAATGCACTTTCGACTCGGCAAAAAAATTGTCGCTGGATAAGAGCATGAGGTTTTTGTCTGGATTTTCGTCTTGATACTGTTCACAGTATATCAATTGATCACCACGGCCTTGACCTTCTCGTGTGATGAATTCGCATTTTCTTGCATAACGAACCAGTGTGTCCCAATGGTCGCCACGGTCTCTGGACAGCCAAATGTTTGTGTGGTCGTCGTTTCCAACGGAACCAGACCAGAGCAGCCAGTCCTTGTATTCGGGGTGGAATCGCAAAGTTGGCAGTCGTAGGGTGCTTGGTCGTTCTGGAGCCGTGAACTTATCAAACCTATCCCCTCGATCAATGGTGTAGTGGACGGTTTTTGAGCCTGTCAGGAAAAAGACTGCGTCGTGATGGTGAGGGTTAGGCGCAATGGCAGTTATCGGCTCCCCCTTCAGAATTCGTTCCCATGTTTTGCCATGATCTCGTGATAAGAAGATGTCTTGCTCGCTCGTGCGCATGACGATGGTCTCGTCATTTCCTCTAGAAGTGCCACTTCTTTCAAGATAGTACCATTCGGAGAAGCGATCAGCGTTGAAGTTGGTCTTCTCAACAGTGATCTGGCCCGAAGCAGGCGTCTTCACCGAGTCCGAGCATGGCCTTTCGATCTCCTTGTCGAGTTCTTCACCACCCTTGCGCAGACACTCATTACCCGGAATCATTCGCCATCCGGAGGGGCCCTTAAAGGTGTCTTTCTCATTCTTGCATGCCCCCTCTGGGACAGCAATCGGCTGTGCAGGATTACATTTAGTGCGATCGTCGGGGTCTCTGACAAAGTTGTAGTCACACTCAAAGTCAGCCATTGTGCAGACGCAGGGTTCAAACTCCGGCACAGGGTCTTTGAATTCCTCATCGATGAAGCAGTCAGCATCAGCCTTGCGTCTCCTGTAGAATTGCTTGTGTCCCATGAGACAACTCGGTTTGCCGTCCTTGTCGACGCGAGCGGGCCAACGCTCAAAGTCATCCTTGCCGCAAGCTCGTTCATGGAGACCCTCGAAGTCGATTTTGAACATAACCCACTCGGTCTTGGAACCTGTCCCTTTGGCACCCATCATGAGGAATTTGAGAGTAGTCGAGTCCGGAACGGTAGTGAGGAACCTCGCTCGGACTTTCTCTCCAAGGTCTGCCTTCTTCCAGGTCTTCCCATGGTCGATCGAATATCTTATGTGACTGGTGGAATCCTCATCGTCGACAGCGACAATAACTGCTCCCTGATTGCCAAACTCGTACAAATAAGCACCGTCAAGGCCCTCATACCATGTGACACCAGCATCGTCCGAGACATAGAGATCGCCGTCT